GTTGGTCTTCGTTGAGATGATGGCTAATCTGATTGGTCGAAACTTGATGAATAAACCATTGCTAATTGTTGTATATAAGTCGGGTGTCCGGGCGAAGTTTGTTTCAAGTCAGGTCTGTCTGGGTTACGTCATTAACACACTCAACCAATACACCAGTAGAGGGCGCTATTGACGGGGAGACTGTGTGATTATACGTGACCGGACTTCGCCCAGACCATGCGAACACCCACGCGCGCCTTTTATAGCTTTCGCGCTGCTCTGACCACGCCCGCGCACGCGCTCACGTGGCTAAGCAATGACTTCCGCTGCCCTATCGCATAACGCACAAGGCAGAGCCTATGCGCCGCCCTTGCTTAACACACAGCTATGACGCACAAGGCGGAACCTATGCGCCGCCCTTGCTTAACACACAGCTAGCTGTGTGTTAAGCAAGGGCGGCGCATAGGCTCCGTCTTGTGCGTTGTGTGATAGGGCAGCTATGCGCGTCTAACATCTGCCTCTGTTACTGGGCAGAGCGCCATCTATAACTAGAACTCTGCACCGTGCCTAGTGACTAGCGCCCTCTGTCACGTCACAGTATTTGGCACACCATAGTCTGTTTTCACGCACACACTGCCTGTACACCGTGGTCGCAGTCCCCTCTTCAGGCGTTTCCTTCTTTGAATGCTTACTGACACAGGACAACCCCAAGTTTCTACGTTGCTTGGCATGTTGAGCTGTTGAAAATTTTGGGGCTAGTGTTCTTCGTTACACTGATCATCACCCCGTCGTTCACCTTCAACTTGAAATACCTTCTGGTCGCATACTAGGTGATTCTTTGATTTGTTCAGCTTCGTCAAAGGCTACAGGCTCGGGAATGCTGTGAGATTCTGAGGAACTTTCATCAGGTCACATATAAGGTGATACATTCATTTCGTCAGCCTCTTCAAAGGCCATCGGTTCGGGAGTGTTTGTTTCTGAGGAACTTTCTGGAGCTTTGCTATTGCAAGGTTCATTGTGATTTGCTATCGGTGGTTGTTCTGTCATAGCATTTAAAAACGGGGCGACAATTTCTTCGTTTGTAAGTTCACTATTGCTGAAGTCAACCAGCTGACAGAGTGGAAAGTCACCTAGGTCCATCA